GTTAGAAACGCCACACTTAAAGTCCCCAGAATACCCCTGTAGATGAAAACCTGAGTTAGTATAAAGATGTTAAGCATGAGAAATAATCATGTTAGGAAAGGTCAGGCATTTCAGCTGTGTTGTTTATACAGACAACCATCATCTCTATAAATGCCGATCCTAACTTTCTTCCCACTTCAGGGAATCCACGGATGTGTGGATATATGATCCTGAAACTGCATCTTTGTTCTTATCTCTACTGCCTTTATGCATAACCATTTCCCTGCCTCCCCTAGTAACACTTATGTCAAGGACAGACACTAGTGTGTAGGTAATCAAGTTCAAAGCTGTAACACCTTTTACCACTTACACACAGAGAAACAAACCTGCTGCCTGTACAACCTTATCCTCCATTCTCAGAAAGGGGGAAAACCCTTTGGATTTCAAGCCTACAGACCTCAGGCTGAGACGCAGTTCACCCTCTGGCTTCTTTCCAATAGTGCTGCCTGGAAAGCAATGCTTGGAGGTTTAAGACTGGAGAGGGTGCAACTTTGACTCCCTGTGAGTCACAGCCTGAGATTCTCCTGTGGCTGCAGGGTGGATAGCTCAGAGACCTGAGGGCAGAGGGAGCTCTGGGAGTGTTTCAGAGGGAAGGAACAGCTCCTCACTTAGCATCACACGCTTTGCTGTAAGAAGAGGTAGCCTAAATGTGCAGCTGGAAGGTGTGCCTTCTCAGCACTCTTTGCACCAGAAGTTCGTGCTGGTTCATTTCTTAACATAGTCAGGGATTTGGATAAACTTCCACCCCTATTACATATTGCCGCTGACTAAAGGTGGTGGTTTTAGCCTGGGAGCCTTTTTTTGATAAGCAGAATATTGATTCCTGGAAAGAAAAAGGCAGTTGTCTGATCCTCAGGACCAAAAATAATAATGTCCTTTATGTGAACACGGTCCTGCTGCATTAAGAAGTGTCAGTCACATCAACAGTGTGAAAGTACCCTGGGAACTGTGACATATCCCACTGGTAAGCTATGGGAAAACTGTAACAGCTCACACTCAAGGGAGAAAGGCAGTTAAAGTAATGGCTGTTACAATAGCCAAGGATTTAAGCAAATGAAAGGTCCTTCCAAAAACTTCATAACATTCTGGCCACAGGAACGATGAACAGTGCATATGGGATAGACTGCCTCAGTGAAACAGAAATCATAACAGCTGTTTAACAGGGAAGCAGGGCCCCATAACCTCATTTTCAGAGGAAGAGCTCCAGTTAAACGGTAAAAACTATGAGTAGGGATATCTATAGGCTACTCATTTACCTCTGTAAACAGTTACAAGGTGGGGTTGGAGGGCCCAAATGTGCATATGAGATTTGTCTGCTATAACATTGCTGTGTAGAGACAGTTTGTGCAGTGCTTGAGGCGCATTCCTCTTTATATCACTCAAGGAATCAGTAATAGATACTAGATAAGTGTAAAGCTCCTGAATTAACTGTTCACTTTTATAGTATGTCTGATCTCTGCTACTTTTCTTTTCTCTAATTTTCAAGTAATATTAGATGTATCTGGCAAAACTGATCGGACAATAGTTTCTATTTACAGCTGGTAACAAATGTGTTTCTTTTCTGAGACATGTCTGTACTGTTTTTGACTGGTATGTTGACCATAACACCAGCATTATCTGGAAAACTGAGGACCTTTTTTGGAAAACTAACACAGGATGGAATGAAAAGTAAAAAAGATAAATATATGCTGTAGTCAAACAGCACATTCGTTGTATTCTTCCTCTGTCTTCATAATTGCTTCTAATCACTTCTGTGACTCAGCTGTAATCTCTATATTCATACATGCTTGTGTGTGCCCAGACACACACATACATAGAAATGCTTTCAAACTGTTGGTCTCCAGTAGTCCCAGTGACCTTACTTGCAAGAAATTATAAATTGTTATGCTCTGATGCAGAGAAACATATGATACTTGCTTGCATGCTTTAGACTCTGATACCTCTGATCTGTAAAATGTGTTGGTTGCTTTCTGCTGGGTTTGTCCCTTGAGGAACATGGGACTGTCTTTAATGTTCTTTTGCTGTGTAAAGAGCCAGTCTGTGCAGTTCTTGAACTCCAGTGAAAGTGAGGCTGTGAAATATCAAATGTGAGTCTTCTCTCTTGCTGATAATTGCATTGTGCAATCCAAAAATTAATATTTACCTTGTGCATTTTGTAAGAATCACAAGTTGATTAGCCAATGCATAATTCAGTGCATTACTTTTCAAGTTCTGAAAAACATGCATTTTCTGCTGTAGAGCCTTATAGTTACATTAAGGCACAGAATATCATCCCTGGGCACGTAGAGATGTGAAAAGAATAGCCTATTCTGCAGTGACAACAGCCTTCCACAAGGCCAGCTCCTTACCCCCTGCTAATGGACAATCCCTGGTCAGGAAATAAGGCTGATGTAGACAGTCAAATGTTCTGATAACATGGGTTGTGGCTATAAAAATGTAACTGGGATTCTTCCTGTAGATATGAGATGTTCCTGCATGCGAGTGAGGGAGAAGAGTGCATGAATAAGCAGGAACAAATACCTCTGAAGTGCTACCCCTTTCCAAAGTCTTCACCATTGAAACATTTGTGATTTCACGTAGTATGTGATCCCTTTTCCCACTGTTGAATGGGATCCATCCAACAATCTGATCTCATTCACAAAGCCTCTGTAGTCATCTTCAGTTTCTTGCCTATTTTGTGTTAGTGTAATGTACATGTACAATGCATTTCCCAAAGCACCAACTTGCGATTGCTTTTCAGACAAGATGTGTGTTCTATCAAAAGGAAAGGATGGTTTCCAGGAGGTAAAGGAAAAATAAATAGCATTAGTGGTTGTCTGATAGACACTTCTGCGTGGGGCATTTATCCCCACCAAGCCCTATGCACGTTTCACATCAGCACAGGTACCTGCAGTAACCAACCTGTGTTTGTGTAACTAAACACAACGCCCAGTAAAGTTTCCAAGCCATTGTGCCTTGAACTATCCCCTTTTGAAATTGACTTGATACAAAATGACCCACCTCTTTCTGCAGCTATTGTGCTGCTAACTTCCCATTACATGCTTTGAAAGCTGCAGCTGCCTGTACAGTACCTCTGCAAGCCAGCGTGGTCTGAGGACAACGTGAGGATCAGGAGGTTATTTTTGTACAAATCTATGGCATTGCCTGTCCAGCCTCTGACATGGTGGCAAAATATATATTGTATTTAAGAGTAGGTCTTGTCTTCCATTCACCTCCTCTTGGCATGCCATGTTTTACAGTCTACTGCAATGACATTTCTGTTTCTTGCCTTCAGTTTCACAGCTGATGAACTCAACAGGTTTCTCTGTCATGTAGGCCAGCTTTATGCTTGAAATGAAGCTAACCAATTTTCAGCCACTGGAACGAACCACACCAAACGTTGTGCCTTCATTCTTTCTCAGATTTGGAATATAAACTTTCGCATCACCTGAGTGTATGTATCTAGTCAGTAGTATTGGTTGATAACTTGAGGGCAGAGAAAATGGATGCACAGCACTTTTGCCTTTTCAGGCAGTATATGTGGAGAAAACAGAGTAAGCTGAGGGAGTTTTTATTGTTAAACTCCAAGCAGGGACAGAATGAAGCAGGAAAACCCAGCCAAAATACCCTTCTTTTTGTAACTCTTAGCAAAAGGTGTGAAGTTGAGGTATCCAGCCAGATAATGAACAACCAGAAAAGATAGTCCTCCACCACAGACTAGTCTTTTTAAAAAGTCTACCAAGACTCCCAGCAAGTCAGACTGGAGTCAGAAAATTAAGTATTCAGGGACTGTAAATGACACAAGGTGGTCCAGATTTGTCAGCTTCCACTACACAATCCTTGCCTCTATCTAACGTTGATGTTCTTTTTTTGTGTAAGTACAGCTTTAAAGTCTCTTGCTAGGTGCTTGCTTATTTCTTTATACTCACAAAAGACACTGCAGTGCTTCCTAGCTCATACTTTGCTGCCATTTGGAAATATCTCTGCTTCACTGATCTGTGTTATCTGCATTCATCGTATTTCAAAGTCTTTTTTCTTTTTGTTTATTGATCTTATTAGCATATTTTTACAGCTGAAAACCATCAAACGATTACTGTGTGGTATGATTTCTGTGCTTTAGAAATGGTCTCCTTCCTTAGTGAACAGCAATACACTATTTGTCCTTGGTTTTGAAACATTAGCCAACTGGTAGCTCGGCAGCCCCTGTACTGTATTTTTAGGTGGGTGGTACCGTAATGGCCCAGAGATAATTTTCAAGCTTCCCTAAAGTTACAAACTCAAATTTCCCCTCTTGAGAGGGGAAATAACTGATCCAGGTTGTAAGCAAATGCAGTTTTCATTAAACAAATAATAGGTTGGTCTTCCCCGTCATACTCCTCTGAACAGAAGCCTGGAAAGGGCTGTAAGTGCTGCAATTCTGCAACATTACTACAGGAGATTTTGAAAAGCTTTTTAATTGGTAGTTACAAATATTATAGCAAAGTTTTAATGCCCTAACTCTCCTTGGTCATGTCTGACCAGATATGACTGTGACTTTGTCTGGCTCAGGTGAAAAAATGAGTCTATCATAACCAACAGTTGTTTATAAAGTAGAAAAGGGTGTTTTTGTTTGATTGTGGAGATTTACTTGTTTTATTTATTTATTTATTTATTTTACATATATAACTACATACTGCTCAAGGCATAGCTCTTCTGTTCTCTTTTCATAGGGTTGACGCACATCTAGACTGTGACTGCACAGTGATGTTTCTACCTTGTAGGACATCCATTAACCATGTTTTTACAGAAATTGTATAGTTGTATATATTGCTCTCTCAGGATGTATGTATTCCCTCACCTCCTCTTAAACTTTTTTTTTCTTTTTTCCAGAGAGTTTATACTTAATTCTATGCTAATTGTATTTTCTATCTACCTCTTTTAAAATATACCTTCTTACTTGTACATACTGACATTATTTCATTGTTTCATTATGTTCTTTTCAGAAGGAGATACTTTGTAAATATTTCAGAGACTGAAGGACCACAGCTGGATTAATTTGAATCACTCTGAAGTGACGTGTCAGAAATCAGGAAGCAAATTCCACAAGGAGAGCTGCATTAACAATTTTTTTTTCAATACTAGTAACACGTTTTGCTGGTCCAGGCTGGAGTCATCGCTATATGACTGGTTTGGGCTTGGATAGAATTACTTTTCCTCCTAGTAGCTGGTATGGAGCTGGGTTCTGGATTTCAGAAGAGAGTGATGCTGACAACACACCGATCTTTTAGTTGTCGCAGAGCACTGCTTACACAGAGCCAAGGAGGTTTCATCTGCCCACACCGCCCTGCCAGCCAGGAGGCTGCGGGTGCACCAGGAGCTGGGAGGGGACGCAGCCAGGACAGCTGGCCCAAACTGGCCAGAGCCATGTCCCATACCCTATGGGGTCGTGCTGAAGACTGGGACTGAGCAGGTTGGCCAGAGTGTGGCTACTGCCGCGCGGGGTCTGTCTGGGCATCATCACTCAGTGGGCAGCGAGCAATTGCATTGTGCGTCACCGTGCATTCATCCTGGAGGAGAGAAAGCTCGGCGGGATCGTAGCAGTGTCTAGACATCCCCAAAGGGAGGATGCAAAGAAGACGGAGCCAGGCTCTTGTCAGCGGTGTCCAGCGGCCGGACAGCTCTAGGTGGCCCTGCTTCAGCAGGGGGTTGGAGCAGATGACCTCCAGAGATCCCTTCCATCCCCAGCCCTTCTGGGAGCTTCCTTCTGGGTAAAAAACAGGGCCCTTTTATACCACTGACACAGAAGATGGCGTAGGATGCCACCACGTAACAAGTGAGGTACTGCTCAATTCTATCTTCCACCTGAGACAGCCAAGAGGTTGCGGTGCTCCTGGTTTTCTCTAAACAATCCTAGGTTTCTCATGCATATTCCCACTGTCCCTGGCCAATTTCCACCTTCCCAGGTGGAAAGTTGTTCCTCAGTTTCTTGATGCGTCCTCATCAATGGTGGAACGCAAAAAGCGGTGTCACTTTCCAAGACTCCTTTGGGAGAATTAGGAAGTAGGTATTCTTTATGAAGAACGCTGGGTATGTGGGGGATAATTCCACCCAACACGTACAGCTAAGCAAGACAAGGAGTACTTATTTATGGTACGGGGATATCCATATTTATGCAGTTCACAAGAAAAGGCAGGATTTATGCTAATGGTTTCTCAGAACTAATTATCATATTGTCCCTCCTGCTGTTGCAGGTCAGGTAACCTCTGGTGGTTGCACTTCGGGGCTTTCTGATGAAGGCTCATCGTCTTCTTCATCTTGTACTTCTTTCTGTTTTGTGCATGCTCAGTCATTGTGGTGGTTTTACCGTGCTGGGCAGCTAAACCCCACAACCGCTCTCTCACTCCCCCTCCTTTAGATGAGGAGGGGGAGAAGTAAAGCAAAGAACAACTCATGGGTTGAGATAAGGATAATTTAATTAAAGGGAAATAATTATAATAATTAAATAAAGACTACCATGAACTAAACAATTTAACTAAGGGGAAATAAAAAGGGAAAGGGGAAAAGGGAAAATAAAAAGAAGGGAGGAAAACAAACAAACAAAATAAATGAAAGCTATATGGAAGTGCAGAGGAAAGAAATTACTCTCTACTTCCCACTCATGAGCGATGATTGACCACGTCCTTGAAGCAGGGCCTCAACGCACGCAGCCAGTGTTCGAGAGGAGGACCGACGTCTTCTCAACGAGTGCCCACCCCTCCCCTCTTCTTCCTGTTTCCACCTTTTATTGCTGAGTGTGACATCACATGGTATGGAATATCCCTTTGATTGGTTTAGGTCAGCTGCCCTAGTGATGTTTCTCTCCTCACTTTTTGCCCACCCCCTAGGAGGGTTAGAGAAAGGCCCAATGCTGTGCCACTGCTGCTTAGCAGTAGACACAACACTGGTGTGATAACACTGCTGTTCCAGCTACAAGTACAGAGTACGGCACTGTATGGGCTGCTGCCGGGAAAGTTAACATTCCGGCCAGACCCAGTACAGTCATTGTTTAACTGCTTCAGCACTTTCAGTCTTTGAAAAACTCAGCTAACTTAATTAAGTTCTACTTTGGGCACCATGTTCCTTCTTCAGCCTGGATTTTGTGCATAGAGCTGAATCTTCTTACCACGTGAGGCCGATACAACAACCGAGCAATTTAAACTTTTGGGCTGCTCCCGTTCCCAACACCTTTGCACTCCCATGTTGACTTCCCATCCCCCAAATGACTTCTCACCCCTAAGTCTCACTCACGGACCCGCCACCCACAGCCGCTCCCCATCAGGAGCAGACACCCCCAAACCAATTCATGGCGGGGACAGCAGGGGAGGGCTGTGTCCAGCCCCCTTCCCCCCCCTCAACCCCCCTCCTGCCGAGCGATGCGGGAAGAAGTGCAGGCAGAGGCTTTGCAGGGTGGAAGAGTGGTAATTTATTCTTCCTGGGGGAATCGTGGCTGCCACCCCCAGCCCATCCCCAGGCGAGGCCCGGCCGCCTGCTCAGGCGGGGGGCCCGTCCTGCCGGCCCGCGTGGTCCCCGCTTCCCGGCTCCTCCTGCCGCACCCTGTGCAGCCAGGATGTGTCCCCGACTTCGGCGTCCTGCGGGGAGCTTGGCAGTCTGCGCCCGACCTGCCCCGCGTGCCAGGAGAAGCTTCTCTCCAGTCTGCGCCCCGTGGAGGGGCTGCGCGCCCTGCGCCGGGGCGAGACGCTGCGGGAGCGGTAGTTGGAGGGGCTCCTCCCCCGCTGCCCCCTCTGCTGCTGCTGCTGCTGCCGCCGCCCCAGCCGCTCATTCCGCTGGAACCTTCCCCGGGGTCTTCGGGCCAGGCGCACCACTGCTACGATGGGCCCGCGGCACATCGGGCAGGTGTCCCTTCCCTCTGCCCAGAGGTGGATGCACTCCAGGCAAAAGGAGTGCCTGCAGGGGTCCACGCGAGCTGCGCTGGCAAGCGGGCCCAGGCAGATGGGGCACTCCTCGGGCTGCTCCTGCCGCCAGCTCATGGTTCCTGCAGCTGCCGCAAGGTGCAGATGGTCGTCCTGTGGGGGAGGCTGCCCTGCTGCCGGGCGCTCAGCAGCAGCCCAGGGTCTTCAGCACCTCGATGTCTCGCGGGTCGCTGGCAGGAACTTGATGCCTCACGTGCCACCAGGAGGACAACTGCAGAGAAAAGCAGGAAGAAAATATTGAATCAGCAAGCAGACATTCGCTTTCTAGGTTCTACCACGTTGTCTAGAGTGCTGTAGCTGTCAGCAGTCTGTGCATGGATTGCAAACACAGACTAGGCTTAGGCCAGATGAGGTACATGGATGTCTGTAGGTGTGAGAGCATTACCGAAGGCCCTTGATGGCTCGCGTGCAACAACAATGGCTTCGCGTATGCTTCTAGCAATAGCTCCGCCTCTCTCTCTCCTTCCAGCCGTGGAGACTCGAGCTCTCGCCTACCACCAGCCGGACTGGCCGCAGGCGCCCCGTGCAGGGCATTTATAGGCAGCCCCCTTCTGTGAGGCCAGAGGGGACATCACAAAGGTTTCGGGGTACCCCTGATGGCAGCACTGACTTGATGGGAGTCTCAGGTATTTCAAGTGACGCTTTATTCTTGATACCTCAGTGCCCTCTCCTTGGCCCAGTCCTGGATTCTACCTCTTCCGAGATGGCTTTTCTTAATTAGCCTGATACCGCTCTCCGCTTGGCACCTGTCAGCGTGGAGCAGCCATCTCAAGTCTCACAACGTTCAGGTGACCTCTGTCAGTGCTGCCCTCAGGGACACCCCAGACCCTGCTGATGTCACCTCTGGCCTCACAGAAGGGGGCTGCCTATAAATGCCCTGCGCGGGGCGCCTGCGGCCAGTCCGGCTGGTGGTAGGCGAGAGCTCGAGTCTCCACGGCTGGAAAGAGAGAGACGGGCGGAGCTGGTGCTAGAGGCATTCGCGAAGCCAATCTTTTTGTACGCAAGCCATCATCAAGGGCCTCCGGTAATGTTCTCCAATCTACAGACATCCATGTACCTCATGTGGCCTCAGCGTAGTCTTGCCAAGTATAACCGATCATAAGCATATTTGCTGCTCTAACAGCCATGTTTGCAATCCATACACAGAACAGTTACTGCTACAGCACTCTAGACAACTTGGTTGAACCTAGAAAGCGAATGTCTGCTGCTGATACAACATTTTCTTCCTGCTTCTCTCTGCAGTTGTCCTCCTGGTGGCACGTGAGGCGTCAAGTTCCTGCCGGCGACCCGAGAGACATCGAGGTGCTGAAGACCCTGGGCTGCTGCTGAGCGCCCGGCAGCAGGGCAGCCTTCCCCACAGGACGACCATCTGCACCTTGCGGAAGCTGCAGGAACCATGAGCTGGCGGCAGGAGCAGCCCGAGGAGTGCCCCATCTGCCTGGGCCCGCTTGCCAGCGCAGCTCGCGTGGACCCCTGCAGGCACTCCTTTTGCCTGGAGTGCATCCACCTCTGGGCAGAGGGAAGGGACACCTGCCCGATGTGCCGCGGGCCCATTGTTAGCAGTGGTGCGCCTGGCCCGAAGACCCCGGGGAAGGTTCCAGCGGAATGAGCGGCTGGGGCAGCGGCAGCAGCAGCAGCAGCAGAGGGGGCAGCGGGGGAGGAGCCCCTCCAACTACCGCTCCCGCAGCGTCTCGCCCCGGCGCAGGGCGCGCAGCCCCTCCACGGGGCGCAGACTGGAGAGAAGCTTCTCCTGGCACGCGGGGCAGGTCGGGCGCAGACTGCCAAGCTCCCCGCAGGACGCCGAAGTCGGGGACACATCCTGGCTGCACAGGGTGCGGCAGGAGGAGCCGGGAAGCGGGGACCACGCGGGCCGGCAGGACGGGCCCCCCGCCTGAGCAGGCGGCCGGGCCTCGCCTGGGGATGGGCTGGGGGTGGCAGCCACGATTCCCCCAGGAAGAATAAATTACCACTCTTCCACCCTGCAAAGCCTCTGCCTGCACTTCTTCCCGCATCGCTCGGCAGGAGGGGGGTTGAGGGGGGGGAAGGGGGCTGGACACAGCCCTCCCCTGCTGTCCCCGCCATGAATTGGTTTGGGGGTGTCTGCTCCTGATGGGGAATGGCTGTGGGTGGCGGGTCCGTGAGTGAGACTTAGGGGTGAGAAGTCATTTGGGGGATGGAAAGTCAACATGGGAGTGCAAAGGTGTTGGGAACGGGAGCAGACGCATGGTGACGTAGCCCAACTGCAAAAAAGGCTGACAGCCCAAGTCTCCTAAAAGCCTGGCAGCAGAGAATGCCTGCCAGCTGCGGAAGCGGGCCTGGCAACCTGCAGCATCCCTGGAAGGTGCTGCTGGCCTCCTGCAAGTGCAGCCTAAGGGTACCTGAGGACCAGAGACTGTCTCCAGGTGCCACCACCAAGGGCAAAAGCAGGGAACTACAAGAGCAATGGGCTGTCTGAGAAGGAGGAACGGCTCTGGGAAAGGCGCCATTCCCAGAGACTAGGAAGCATCGGTGTCTATCACTCGTCTCAGGTGAAACACAGAAATTAGCAGCAGCTTTTGGCTGCTCTAAGGAGGTGGTGTCCTCTGCTGTCTTCTGTCTCTCTTAATAGAAAAAGGACTCCTTCTCGACCCTAAATGGAGCGCCTCTCCCCCTCAGAACTTCTTGTGCTGCACAAATGGTTCTTGCCTACATGACATCCTTAATCCAGTGAACCTGTGCTGGGGATGCCCGGATGACTCTGAACTCTCTGATGGGAGCCTCACGTCTTTGCAGTGACACTTTGTTCTTGATTCCTTGGGGCCCACCCCCGGGCCCACTCCTGGGTTTGGTCTCTTCCAAGATGGCTTTTCTTAATTAGCCCGACACCTCTCTCCATGCTTGCCTTGAATCACAGAATATTGCCCAGGGGTGGTTTGTGGCCTCGTGTAATAACGAGAACTTTTCAGCAAAGAAAGCCTCCGTGTATTGCAGCACCCTACCAACTCCCACTTGCCGTCTCTCCACACCCGCAGGCAGGGGGGCATCCCTGAAGGGCTAAACCCTTTGGAAGGTCACGGCATGAACTTCGTTGTTGTCAGAAGCGGGATTCTGTAAAACGTGCACTCCGGGATGCTTTTGAGGAGGTGGTAGAAGAACACTGGGAGGTGCATGAGGCTGTCCTGGTTTCAGCTGGGACAGAGTTTGTTGTCTTCCCAGTAGCTGGTATGGAGCTGGGTTCTGGATTTCAGAAGAGAGTGATGCTGACAACACACCGATCTTTTAGTTGTCGCAGAGCACTGCTTACACAGAGCCAAGGAGGTTTCATCTGCC